GGCTGGTTGCAGCTCTTGATAGAGTCAGGCTTGAGGGCAGCAGCCCTGGTCTGAAGGGAAAAGGATCAGAGCTGTGTGCAGTGAGCCACAGGAGAACCAGGAGAAGGAGCTGGAACACATGGGGGCCCTGAGTTTAAGGCAAGCCCCATCCCCCAGCAACTCAGCAAGGGGTGATGTTCCTTTCAGCATTGAGACTCACCCCCTGTGAGAAGAACCAAAAACAAGGAGCCAAGCCGTGCTCCACCGAGCATTTGGGTTGATTTATATTAAGCACATTCACTTATGCCTTTTATAAATGTTTAAATGCAAAATTTTCAATATTTACCTAGTCTCTTGGCTTTCTGGCTAGATCCTTTAAGTGAAATCATTCTCATCCAAAAATGTGTATAAAACCATTCAAAAGTAATATCATATTGGAAGTGTCCAATATGAAAAGTATAACTGCATAGAAATCAACTATTTTGCTCACATGGACGTCTGAGGCATACAGTCAATATTCACAGTTCCTTGTTTGTGAATTCGCCTATTTGCTAAAATTGATTTGCAGCCTCCAATCAACCAGCAACTCTTTTGTGGACACACACAGAGTGGTGAAGAGTTTGAGCCACCCAACACGTACGGTCCCAGCCCAGGTCTAAGGGAGTGACCCCCGCCTTCCAGTCTCAGATGTGAGCTGTAAATAAGTGTCTTTCTCATGGTCTGTTTAGTGCCATGTTTTCTGAATTTCTGAACTTTCAGTTCCTTGTTTGAAATGCCCCCAAATGCAGGGCTGATGCCCTGAGCACAGGGAGGGTGCACTGTGCCTTTGTGTAGAACACGTGTGTGTTTAGCAAGCTGCATTCAGGCTGAGTTACAGATTAAAATGTCTTTAAACAGAAGCGCTTGTAAAACAGTACGTACCCAGCAATTTATAAAGATGCTGTGACCAGAGGCTCACGGGATCCCGACTCTGTTTTTTCAGGAGCATTGGTTCAATTTTCCTAATTCAGTGTTGATGGAGACAGAACATGGCCAGGGCAAGAAACAAGGATCTGTTAGAGTGTGAGCTTTACTTTGACTTTTTCCTCATACTTTTGACCCATCTTGACTTACCCAGTTGCCACTCATTTCCTGCAACCCCTGTCAGGTATTGAGGGTGCTAAGGGGGAGAACAGGATTCTGTTCTCAAGCAGGGCAAAGCTCCCCCATCTTCATCTCCCTCCCAGTGTCAACTACACAGCACTGGATAACATCATCTGAGTAGGCGTCTCGGCCACCACGAACTCTCGGGATCTTCCCTAAGGAAGACACCTTCACGGCACGGGGTGCTGGATTCAGTCTTGGTTGTGCTGCCCCTGAGGATGTGAGGACACGGGGCAGACAGCTCAGCGGACACTGGTTCTCGGGGTCTGAGTCTGGGAGACTGGGAGCCCCAGGCAATGCCCAGCCCTGAGTCACTTGACAGACATCTCTGATAGAACAATCTGCGGGAGATGAGGGGACCAGCCAGAGGAGCACCCAGTGCTGCCGCAGGGCTCCAGCCACACCCTCCTTGCCTTGGCCACGTAGTAGCAGCCCCCTGCTGTCCCCTTACAGGGACGTGCAGTCTGGGCCCACTCGCCAGGCACAACTGCAAAGACACGACAAATATGTGGAAAAAACAGTATAATTTATTTGCAGGATATGCAATTTTATAATTGAATTTTACAATTTAAAAAAGATATAAAACAGAAGACAAATTGCTGGTCACATAAATAAAAAGGAACAGTAGAGAAGGAAGATGTTTTCACCTTACAAGGCTGTCCAGTGTCTGGCCCGGGAGAAGACGCCTCATGGAGTTGCCCGTTCACAGATCCCTGGGGACGCTGCCCCCACAGAGGCCCGTGGCCCCCTAGTTCAAGGTTAAGCCCTAGCTGTAGAATCTTTCGTTTCCTTCTTAAAAGCCAGCACTCTTGAAAAGAACAGGACCGTGGGACAGCAGTGCACAGTTAAGGCACCTGGCCACGAGAGGGCCCCCAGGAAGTCCAAAAGGGAGCGTCTTTCTCTCCTCTGCTGCCGGCGCAGCACTTCTCTTCAGCACTTTTGCTCACAGAAGAGTAAGTCAGGAGCCAGTCACTTTGCGAAAGTAGGTCCTACACACCCCTGCACATCCTCGGCGAGGGCGATGACAGTCTCAGAGAGCTCAATGCCACCAACTGCTGGGAGGCACCGAAAGCCAACATTCTGGAGCATTGAGGTAGCAATGTAGAAACCTGACACGGACTGTGCACCACACGTCCCTGATTGCCCCAGGGGACAGGAGGGTCAGCATGGTGCCCGACTCGGCCCCCCTGCCAGGACCAAGGGTCATGCACACTCTCCAAGGGGCCGGAGAAGGAGACGTGCACCAGGAGCCGCTTCCCTTGCACCCAGGGCCGTCTACACTCTCGCCCAGCAAGAAGGGAAAAAAGGTTCTGCTGCCCTTACATGCCACTAGCATGTCACCACCCATGAAGGGCCGGTCCCTTTATTTCCAGCCACCATCAGTGGCTGGTGAGAAGGCTCTAAAAAGTGATTGGCAGAAACCTCATGTGGAGAGTGGGCCGTGGGG